TGATCAGGCTCTTGGGTATTTCAGACATTGCATGCATGGGGTATGTTTTCTGATTTCAATCGTAAATGAAAGGGTTAAGCCTATTTTATTATTGTTGGTTTTAATTATAGTGGGAAACTTCCTAATTATATGAACTTGTATGCCTCTCTTGAAATGATGAAAGATTAATCAGGATGGATTAACGATCCCATGCCCCCCGTTTAGTTTTGGAATATTTTTTCTCCCATGGCCAAACTTTAAGTTTTGGAAATAAGATGAATTTAACTTAGGTCAGAGGTAGACCTGATTGCTGGCTGGCTAAGAAGCATGGGCACTTCATAGAAGGGTTTATTTGTGTCCGACGCCCTTGCAGAACACAGTTATTAGACACCACGGGACACTTAGAATTATATAAGATATTTTACATTTTGTTCTGTATCCATGGTCCATGTCACTGTCTATGCTTCCTAACTGGTTGGACATCTTGCTCTATTTTACATTACAAGTTGTTGGGTGTATCGGACCAGTTAAAAATTGACAAAAGTCTGGCATCCAGCTCATCATCAGCTCCAAGCCTCCAACCATGATGGAGTTCTGGATATGTGTGTGTGTGTTGGATAAATTTGGCCATCATCTCAGGTTTTAAATCATTTGAATGGTTTAGAATACTCAAACCAGGATGATGGACAGCATGATGGTATTTCGTTGCTATCTTTGGGTCTAGTAAGTTTACTGTTTATATGTGTGATCAATCTGGTTGAAACAAAGAGTTTGCTGGCTATGTCTAATTAGTTCTTTTTGAAGTTGTTGACGATCATTCTGGTCAAATAGTAGTTCCACAGGATGCGATATTCGCCTGAGTGCTTGGCTTCAATGCTTAAGGACCAGAGTAGGAACATAGATGTGAAGGGGAACATATTCATGAGTCGAGAAAGCTGTTGTAGACTCTGCATAATTCGGCTTCCTAACACGTTCAATTGATGTGTGTGTAAACCAAATTATTGGTTGGTTATTAGATTGTGGTGTCTAAATATATGGTAGCTTTTTTGAGAAAATCATTTAATATTGTGATTCATAACAGAATTTAATGTGATTGTAACAGAGCAGTGGTTGTGTTGGTTGCTATAAGAAGCCCACACTAATTACACTGGAACCAAAAGAATTTTCAAAACAAAGCAAGGCTGTGAAGAAACCTAGCACATCTGACGATTTCTGGACCACCAGCACGCATGATATGGACAATAGTGCTGTACAATCACAGGGAAGCATCTCATCAACCAGTGTAACAAACCAAGCCCCAGATCCTCATGGTGGTTCTAGCAAAACATGCAATCCCACTGAATTTGTAAATCATGGTATCTTCTTATTGCTCATGTTTTTCAAGGACATTAGGCATTAAGCATCCTTTGCTTCTGTGCGTTTATTGACTTCTTTTCTCACAAGACTGAGATAACGAAGGATGGTTGCCTTTGCTACTTTGTGCATGCGAACATGTGTATTTGCATTTTTTTTTTTCCTTCTCCTTTTTCTTTTCTTTTCTTGTTTTTTTCCCCTCTCTTTTTGTTTTTGGATATAAATGCTTTTGGCTGTAGACAAAGCTATTAAAAGTAGGTTGAATGGCCTCGTGATTTAAATTTAGATTTTTTGTTTTGTTCTAACTTTATCCAGGTGTCTTGGTGTCTTAATTCATACATGACATGCTGATGTATTTTATAATAAAATAATTTTTTCTTGGATTGAATAGTTCAGTTATTTGTTTTTTCCCAAGGCTTCTAGGTTGCTGGCTAGGTTTTTTGGCTATATTTTTATTCTTTCAATTTATCTCGGGTTAGCTGTTTGTGTTTTAATCCCATGAAATTTTGTTAATAAGGTTGGTGGCTGAATGATTAGCAATTTAACTTGCAAGGTCACTTGTAGAATTCAATAAGGCAAAGAAAGAAAAAGAAAAAAATCACTTGGAACCTGTGGTTGCAGGTCTCATTCTCTGGAATCAGACTCGTCAACAGTGGGTAGGAAACAAGAAGCCTCAAATTCAATCACAGCAGCTGCGAGAACCCAAACTGAGGTAATTTGGGCTGTTGGACTAATTTGACGCTTTTTTCCCCTTAATTTTTGAACCCGTGTTTTGGGAACTGGAGTGGTGACTTGATATATCAACTCACGTTGGTTCGTGCTTTGATCACTGATGCTTAGAAAGTGAGAGCGAATCAAGTTTAAAGTTGCATTGGAATGTTCTCCCATAACAGTTTAATAGAAGTCAAATGTAGTAGTAGTTTTTTCTTTTCTATAAATCCATGCATAAATGAGTTTTATGATAATTCCTTCTTGTCTTTAAGACGTTTGTACTAAGTTTATAACAGGGAACTTTGAGGTTATACTAATTTGTTTGTTAAAAAATTAAAATAAATGAAAGAAGCCACCTTTCTTTTACGGGCTGTTTTGCTGAATGATCAGATAACTTCAAAGAGTTATATTCCTGAGAGAAATGACTTGTGTAAACTGGAAGCCTCGATATATAACTATCCAATTGCTGTCTTGGTTACATAGCATATTTTTGAAATGTCAGCACCACTCCACTGCTGGCTTACCAAAATCTTTGCGCATTAGGAATACGTAACATGATTCAAGTGTGGTAAATAGGATAGAATCTGTGGCTAATGAGCCTTGCTTTTTCCCCCTGTCAATATTTATGAAATACGTTTCTTGTATATTGTCAGCACTTATTGTCTGTGCCTTGGCATATGGCTTTGCAGTTGGAATGCGACATATGAAAGTTTACTTGGAAGCAGCAAACCATTCCCTCAGCCTATCCCTCTTCCCGTAAGCATCTACTTCTGGATTCTTGCAGATTAAGATGAGTTTGGTTATCTGATGGCTTGTTGCTTGTCAATATTGACAGGAAATGGTAGATTTTCTAGTGGACATTTGGGAACAGGAGGGCCTATATGACTGAAACACGAGTGATGTTGGATTTAAAATCCTTGAAATAATTTTAGTTCTTGCTCCTGTGTTAGGAAGGGGAAGATTGAGCTCACTGCATTTTGTACATCAATTGTAATTTTATCTGCCCCATGTTATCTGCTAGTGATGAGGCACTAATTTTCTCTATGCTGCAACTTTGTCTCTTTTAAGTGATGCTGATTGGCCATCTTTAGTGCATGAAGGAGCCAGTTTTGATTGAGGGGGTGAAAAAGCCTTCTTTTTCACGCCAGCGGATTAGTGTTACAGTTGCTCTCCAAAGCTTCTTCCAACTTCACTGATTCTCGGCCACCTCACTTCACTCAATGCCACATTATAAGTGTGCTGACCCACTTGGCTGCAATTATTGCAAGTATTTTCGTAATTATAAATCTAGTTTTTAAAAGTATCAACAATTTAATAATTCCTAAGGGTAAACGATCAAATTGGGCTAGTACGTGTGGTTTCGGCGCTCATCAGCTCATCGTGGTGTTAAAATCTCTACTTTCAAATATAATTTCAAGTGTCTAGATAGAAATTTTTAACCAATGATTTTTTAATAAATTGTTTCTTGAAAAATTGATAGTTAAGATATTATTTTCATTTTAGATCTTGCACAGATTAAAATAATTTCTTAAAAGAATAAAACTAAAAAATAAAATATGATTTAAATTATTTAAATGAGATATAGATGGTGCATAATAGTGAAAATCTTAGTATTACGTGAATATAAAATATGTGAAAAATTTTATCTTGATTTGCAGAATAATCATAAGATCTTCATACATAGTAAATATGTGGAGGGTTTATTTTTTAGAAATTCACGTGGCAATTTGTAAATTTTTGCAATTATTTGTATTGTGCTTAAATTATGCATGGGGAAAACACTTGATATATTACAAGTTTTATCATTAAATTTTAGTTTCCAACGGTATCTCATTAAGCAATTAATTTTTTGAAAACTAAACTATAAGTAAATTCAGTAAGTGTAGTACCCTCTGGAACACTCTTGTGTGATCGTCACATAATTGCCTGAGAAGCAACAAGAAGTCTCCATTCGCCAATGCTATTCTGAAATTCCATGAAGCTTTACCTTCTCATATGCCTTTTCCTTTAAATCCTAGAACCTCTTGGAGACTTCTCAAAGCATCCAACGCCAACCCCTTCTTTATTTAAGTTGTCTCAGTTCATCGCACCATTATCCGCATCATAATCAACAGCAAACCGCTCCTTTCAACCTCCAAGGTCTTCCGTTTGAATTAAGAAGTCTATAATTTCAACACCTCAAATGGCTTTAGCTCGTTTAGCTCTGAAACAATTGCAGCAAAGGGTTGGCTCTGCTTCTGCTTTGGCTTCTTCTTCTCCCTTAGTGGAAACGAGGCCAATTGGTTCTGCACAGCAGCTGCTACCGAGAAGCTTTTCGACTGAGAAGGGGAAATCTGATAAAAGCTCTGAGGTTACTGTGTCTGAAGGTAAGAAGTCGAGGTTGTTTCCTAGGAGACAACGAAGAAGATGGCCATGGAGGAACGATGACAGAGACTTCCCCCCTGCCCTTACTGGTACCTACTCTTTTCTTCATACTTACACTACTAAAATCTGATTAACTCGATAAAAGATCATAAACTCACAACATTTTCATGATCTTGTGACAGAGTTCTTCCCTTCAGGGCTAGGGAATGCACTGATGCAAGCGACAGAGAACATCAACAGGTTATTCGATAACATGAACATAACACCATGGTCAGTGAGTGGTCGTGTGAGGGAGAAGGACGATCACTACAAGCTGAGGTACGAGATGCCAGGGATTCCCAAAGAGGATGTGAAGATCACCATTGATGACGGGGTTCTGACCATAAGGGGAGAGCACAGGGAACAGAATCAAGAGGAGGAAGATGATGAGTACTGGTCTTCAAGTAGCTATGGCTACTACAACACAAGCCTGGTCCTTCCTGATGATGCCAAGGCTGACGAAGTTAAGGCTGAGTTGAAGGATGGTGTGCTCACTGTTACTATCCCCAGAACTGAGAAGACTAGCAAGGATGTGAAGCAAATTTCTGTTCAGTGATAGTTGATTCTGGTCTGGACTCTTGTTATTGTGAAAGTCTAGTTGCTAAATCTTTATTCAATGTATGAATAACCAGTGTGTGGTGTTGGCTCAAAAGAATAACCTGTGTATTTCTGGTATAACATGAACCAAAGTTTGAACTTTTATATTTTTCCCTTTTAATTTACATGAATTCTGGCAAGGGTTTTCATATTCACTTCCGGTTATCACTGGCTATGAAAGTTGAGATTGTATGTGAAGTGGGCTTAAGGGGATTTCGGTGAATAGATGGGCCAACCTAAGTAGGCCCATTTTCAGTTGGGCATCAGATATGGCCCGTTTTGAGGCCCAATCAGGAAAGATGATGAGGGAGAACAGGACAGGTGAATGAAAGGACCAATGAGACGCTGACAAGAGAACAGAGATGACGTAATAAAAAGGAAGGAAACAGTAACGTGCGGGTGCGGAGGAGACGATAAAGAGAAACGTCCTATCAACAACTTTCACTCCTTCCCTACAAATATCTTGCCCCTCTTTCTTCTTTCATTCTGATTACTGGAGCCCCACGTCATCAGCATCAATCCTTACTTTTGAGTTTTGAACCCTTCTTTTTGTGATTTTTGTCATTTAATCATATTTTTATTTAAGTGAGAGCTTGTATTTTTATCACCAATCAGTGAATGGATGAGGTTTTGTTTTTTATCTTAAAAATGCGTCATTTCATAATTTCACTCTCAGACAAGAGACTATTTAATATAAAAGCATTAGAAAATAAGGAAACTCTTGCGTTCACATGTCATCAGCAAATACAGATTTCACAAAATAGATGCTTTCTCATTAATATCAGGTGCTCGTTGAGTCCAAGAAAAAGGGGGGAAAACATATATCCAAGAAAAAGCAGAAAATATGTGTGTGTGTGTGTGTGTCAGGTGCGTGCTAGTTGGAAACAGACTTAAAATATGAGATTTTGCTTATCATAATGTCATCATAATAAAAGCCTTTCATCTCATGCATCCCTTTCAAATGACACAGGCAAAATTACTCACTGAAAAGGAACTTTATTCACTTCTCTGAGAATATCACATTGTACAAAAACATGTATTCTTGTAAGGGTCAGGTCAACCCAACAATTTGGCTGAATAGGGAACAAGTAAATACCAAAGTAAGTGGGTAATTTAGTGCCCGACAACAACAAAAAAATGTCATTGGGAGTACCCAAGGTTTATTTTCTTGTCTTCTTAATTCACTGTCTTTCACTGTTCCATTTCACTTCACCATTCCCCCAAAAAAAAAACACTTCACTTTTTGATTGGTGAGTAATGGCCATGGAATCTGGTCTCTGTCTCTCCTTCAGGAAACATCACTCCGCTTAACACTTCTGTTTCACCTATCACTACTCGTCACATTTCAATTCAAAAGTTCAAACACACCACCTTTTTCACTGTTCCTTCTTTGCCTTTCCCCCATCATCAAAATCATAAATCGTAAATATATACAGTATTATTCCCCTTCTCATCTTGCCTTCACTTCACTGTGACTTACATCACCTTCCCAATGGCTTCACTTTGTTGTAGCAGTAGAACTAAAATCTACCTTTTCCATGGAACTATGCGGGTTTCAATCACTGTGGTTTTCATCTTTTGCCTCACTGTTCTACTTCTACCTACCAAATCAGGTAAATGATACGACCCTATATATATCTATCTGAATCATCTGTTACTTCCGAGAGTCTTTGCCCTAATCATGGCTCTGTCTCAAAATCCACTTAGCCCCATGGTCTATTCTCTTCTTTCTTGCTTCATTTCTGTCGTCACTGTCCAGATTTGAATCTTAAAATACTATTTTGGTTAATTTGGTGGACTTGTGTCTGTGATGGAGCAGGTGGGTCAGGGTTGTTCAGCAGCACAGAGAGAGATGACAATAATATAGAGGAAAGCATGAAGGTGATAGGCTCAAGGCCTCCTAGTTGTGTGAACAAGTGCATGAAGTGCAGGCCATGCTTGGCTACACCGGTGGCTCCTGATCACCAGAGGAAGAAGAACAGTAAGGGTTTCAAAGTGTGGTCTCGTGGTGGGGAAGATGATGATGATCCCTACTATCTCCTTTCATGGAAATGCGCTTGTGGGGATAAGCTATTTCAGCCTTGATTTGATTGATTGAATCATACTCTCTCTCTCTCTCTGTTACCATTTTCATTCATTAAACTAGAAAAAAGAGCTGGGTTGAAGCTTAACTGTAGTTGGAGTTTCTGTCTTTCTTCAGAAGTATATGTATATACAGAGAGATCTTAATGTTGGTAGTTAATATATTCTCATTTCAATATCTAACAATGCATAGAATACAATGTTTCTTCAATCAAAGCTGATATGGAAGGTTATGTCTCCACGATTAAACGCCTCAGGGAAGGAACTAGTGTTGATGTGATTTATTTTAAAAATAAAACATAATACATGGTCACCCTATAATTAGAATATGTTACTATATGGTTTTAGACACTTTGCAGTTTGCAAGCTAGTGACTGTTGGTGAATTTGGAGTTGTTATTAAGTGCCTTTTTGGATTCACTTAAAATGAGCTTAAAATCAGCTTAAATTTTAAAATAAGCTGGGTTACAACATGGACCTGTTTGGTTTCACTTAAAATCAATTGGGCTTATGGAAAAAAAGCCTGATAGAACGCCCAAGAATCATAAGCTAGAGGAAGGAGCTTATGCTTAGCCCAGAAGAGCTTCTAGCGGAAAAAAAAAAGAGAGAAGCTGTTGCCCGTTGTCAGATACTCAGGTCCTTTTTTCATTTCCCATTTTCCTTTTCCTCTCACAACTCGTTTCTTTTTCACCGAGGAGTCGCACGCCATCGCTGGTCGCTCCGCTGAAGGTCCCTCTCTGGTCGCCGTGAGCTGTGGCGTTGTCATCGTCGTGTGCTTTGAGTCGTGGGTGTGAGGTGTCCGTGGTCGGCTGGAGGTGCTTCTTCCTTGCAAGTCCGAGCTGGTCCCGCCGTCTGCAACCGAGGTCGCCGCCGTCTGCCTGTGGTTTCGAGCTGCGTGGATCTTGTCTTGCGAGTCTGATACACGGTGGGATCTATCTTTGGCTGCCTTCGATTCGGTTGATCTGTTACAGGTTGGTGAGTAAAATTTTTTCTTTCTTTTCTGGTTTGATTCTTGCTTGGATTTGCTATCACCGGTGGAAGTGAAGAGTTCTCTGTCGCCGCTGTTAGGTTTATTATTTTTTCTGTCTGGTTTGTTGCAGTGCTCTGTTTCCGTCTGGTTTGTTCGGTTTATTATTTTTTCGCCAGCCTCTGTTCGCCGGTGGTTTTTGTGGTCCTCTGTTCCTGCTGGCTGGTGGATAATTTATTGTTTGCCTTTTGGTTTTCCGATGTCGCGTGGCTGTGCTTGCTGGTGGTTTTAGGTGAATTAACGGGGAGCAGAACGTAGAGCGTGTATACGTGATGATCATTCTTTTTTTTTTTGGTGAAAACGTGATGATCATTCTGGATATTGTATAAGTGCGTATGAGCTTGTGTATATGTGTATATCAGAGTGTTACACTGATCATTCGGTTGCAATGGTCCTGGAATTTTGAAAGAAAAATGTACCAAAAAAATAATTTTTTATGTGAAATAGATTGAAGTGTATATCAGAGTGTTACACTGATCATTCAGTGGTTTTATGTGAAATAGATTGAAGAAAGTAATTTGATAACAATTTTTTAGTCCTTATAATGCTGGTTTTTAATAACGTAATTAACTACTGAATTGTCTTCCCTAATTAAATTTCTATTAAATAAGTCATTATTAATTAAGTTTCTGTTAAAATATGCCAGTTCTAATTGAAAGATGAACAATTTTTTTTCAAACAATAAGAAAAACAATTGATTAATTGAGTTTTTGAATAAGAAAGCAAAACAGTTTTTGCAATTATGATGTGTTAATTAATATTTGACGACTTCATAATAATAATTGAAGTTTTGATAACAAATGCATTTATAATAATATTAAGAAAATAGTATATATGTTTGTTTGGTGATTACATAATGTGGCTTTCATTATTACATATTTAGGGTTTTGGTTGATTCAGTTAGTTTTGTTTCCATCAAAAGGATAAAGAAATGGACAATGATAAGGGAAAAGCGACATGGGATCCTTACACGACAAAGTTTCTAATCGATGTTTGTGCCGAGCAAATAGTGCACAAGGAACGACAAGGAACATCATTTACAAGGCCTGTTTGGGGAAAAATTGAAAAGAACTTTCAAGAAAGGAGCAGGAGAATGTATGACAGAAGGCAATTGAAGAATAGATTTGATATATTGCGAAAAGATTGGAAATTGTGGGATAAATTGATGTCTGGAGAGACTGGGATAGGTTATGATGTAGCCACAAATAGGATTTTGGCCTCCGATGAGTGGTGGCAACGAAAATTACTAGTAATTATTTCCGTTGGTTGAGTTTTAATTTTGAATATTTGTTACGACTTTGTTTGATTTTGCCTAATTATGTTAATGTAATGTAGGTTGACCCTAATTTCAAGAAATTTAGATATCAGGGGTTGATGTTTGCATCAGAGCTGCAGAAAATATTCAAAGATGTTGTGGCTTCAGGAGAGTATATGTATGCACCATCAGCCTCACAGCCCCAGTCGACACCTGTGACACAGGCTGGTACAGAAGAGGAGGAGGATGTTTATAGAGTTGGCCTGGACCAACAGGAAGGGTCAGGGGACAGTGAAGATGAAAATTTTGGAGTTGACCCAACAGCCAGTGCAGGATTCACCGATGACTTTGCTGGTTGCAACTTAAACACCCCCGCAAGTACTGGACCAAGTGGCTCAGGAAGCTATGGAAAGAGAAGAGGGGTGAGACGTCTGATGTAAAGAAGAAGAAAAAAGTTGCCGCGTCTACTAAAATTTTGATAGCCTTAGTGTTATAGCAGCTGCTTCTGACAAGCGAGCAGCAACACTGGTTGAAGATCCCCAAATAGTTGACAAGGTTTTAGCACACCTGACTACCGTTGAGGAGCTTAATGATGACAATCAACTATATTATACATGTGCCAAGATGCTTACGCGGTTGAGGTGGGCTAGGCGAGCCTATTTGGGGTTTATGCATGATAGAAGCAAGTTGTTGGCGTGGTTAATACCGGCAGCACAAGATCCAGACACATGGAAGTAGGCACCTCTAGAATAGGATTTAGTTTAGGATTTAGTTGTTGCACTTGTTAACTTGAAATGTTTGTTGTTTGAACCTGAACTGATGTGACTTGTTGTAGGAACTTTAATAATGACTATGTAATATATTTATGCTAATTTCTAATTGTCATCTATGTGTTTGGTTTTTCTGTTTGCAGTATGAAAATTATTTACATGGGGTTTAGTGTAATTCTTATAATGCTTACACTTTGTTGTTATTATAGTTACAGGGTTAACTCCAGAAATGGCTAATTGGAATGATGATTCACAGTGGAATGAAGATACTTTGAGGGATTGGAATGATGATTCACCGTGGAATGAAGATACTTTGAGGGATTGGAATGATGATTCACAGTGGAATGAAGATGACCATTCAAGACGGTTATCCATGATTAATGAGGAATTAACACAATATGAAGCAGTAGGTGCATTGGTTGGTCATTACTGTGAAATATATATGTTTAAACAACCCTGTAGAACTAGTGAGCAAACAGGAAATTTATGGGTACAAGACATTATGAATGGTATGATGATCGATGTCCTGAAATGTTTAGAGTGGATAAACATGTTTTCCACCTCTTATGTACTAAATTGGAGGAACATGGTTTGCGAAAGTCTAGGTACGTAGGAATTGAAGAAGTGGTCGCAATGTTTTTAAATACGATTGCACATGGACAATGTAATAGGATGATCCAGGAACGATTTCAACGTTCAGGGAAAACTGTAAGTAGGCACTTTCATAATGTACTACAAGCTTGCCTTAGCCTATCAAGTGAATTTATTCGACCTGTAGATCCTACATTTCGTGGAACTCATAGAAAAATTGAGAATGATCCACGTTATTATCCATTTTTTAAGGACGCAATCAGAGCAATTGATGGTACTCACATACCGTGTGTTGTCCCCGCTGCAAAACGAGATAGATTTATTGGCAGAAAGGGAAATCCATCACAAAATGTCATGGCTGTATGTGATTGGGATATGTGTTTCACTTTTGTCTTGGCAGGATGGGAGGGATCTGCACATGATGCTTGTATATTTGACAGCGCTATTACAAATTCATCTCTAAATTTCCCTCATCCACCTCCAGGTATATGTTTATATGTTCCAATCATGCACGTTTTTAATTATTTTATATTTTCATTCATTTCATAACGTCTGAAATTGTTTCATGAATCGTTAGGGAAATATTACTTGGTTGATGTGGGATATCCAACACCAAATGGATATCTAGGTCCATACAGATCTGAGCGCTACCACCTTCCAGACTTCCGACGACAAGTAGGATTCCGAAATAGTAACGAAGCCTTCAATTATTATCATTCCAGTTTAAGGTGCACAATAGAAAGAACATTCGGTGTCTGGAAGAATAGATTTCAAATCCTACGAAATATACGCAGTTATGACTTCCAAACACAAGTGTACTTGGTTTGTGCAACAATGGCCATTCAAAACCTTATAAGGAGACATTCAAGCTCTGACTTCTATTTTCAACAAGCTGAAGATGGTAATGTAATTGGCGAACATGATCAGACTAAAGCTAGTCAACCATCACCTTCAAATGTCAATTCACAGTCTTCATCTCATATGAATCGCGTCCGTGATGCAATCAGAGACCAAATTATCCATAGCTTATCAATTAATTAATTATGTAATATTATTATTTTATTTCACTTTGTCGCAATACTACTAATTGGAGTTCAAAACAGTTTTATCCGTTCAAATTATGTTTTGCTTTTATTTGCCTAATATTTTTTTATGATTTCTCTAAATTTTTCAATTTTAATTCACTCTAAATTTCACCTCTTCATTATATTATCTCAATTCTTTTTTTTCATGTTTCACTTGATATTTCAAATATTTTTTGATTTTTTAAAAATTTTATAATTTAATCCACTCATTAAATTTTATTTCTTCATATTATTTTATTTTTATTTTATTGTATTGTCTTAAATCAATTTTTCATCATGTTTCATTATTTATTAAAACTCATGCCCATTTTGGTAATTCTTTGGCCAAAATTACTTTTACTCAACTATAATCCAAACAAGCTTTTACCAATCTCATTTTTGTAAACTAGCTTGTCTGAACTCCAATCCAAACACAATTCAGCTTATCCAATTTAACTTTTACCAACTTCACTTTTTCATAAACTACTTTTTCTATAAGCTGATTTTCCAATCGCTAATCCAAACGGACCTTAAGTTTTAACTGACTAGGCATGCCAGCGGTGTAGTCACCTTTATGTGATGCGGAATTTTCACAGATTTCCAAGGTCCTTTCATATTTCCTCGCATTGGTAGCCTTCATGCCTAAGAATTTAAGACTTATTGTTGCGTTAGAAATTATTTATAAACACATAACTCAAAACAAAAACAAATTTTTAACCAAATTTTTTTTCTTCTTATGCTTATTTCATATTTCATAAATTATGATTAAAAAATTATTTATAAATTATTCTAAACAGGTCTTAAATTAAAAGTGGATAAATATATTGAACAAAATAAAGACCCTAAATTCCTAATTATGATGTCAAAGGTCTTTTATTAGGACAACTTTGTCCTAAACTCTCTCTTTTTTGTTGAGAGAGTGTTTGGGTAGAAATAAAACTATGATTTTAAAAGTATTCTTAAGATATATGAAGTAAATATGTGAAAGAGTTTATCTTAATTTACAAAAAAAAATTACTTTTAAAAAACACCTTTAGGATTACTCAAATACCCCCTGAAGAAATAATTGGTATTCTAAACTTTCAAATGTCATTATAATTCTATGGAAGTTTCAAAAATACTGCAGACCAACGTTGATTGTTAATTAAACAATTTTGACTAAGAATTAGAGGTCAATTTTACCTCAGAAGTTTTGCTGAAAGAGCAATTAGTATCCTATACTTCCCCCGTGTAATGTTTCCTGGAAGTTAAAAGAAATGATATGTCATTTGACTGAACGGTACTTAAGATAAGAACTAATTAGTTAATTTAGATATATTAAAAGAATTAATTAAATTAATTATTTGTAATAAATAAATATTGTCTTTTTTAAAATACTCTTACTAATAACTTGTATTAATTAGAACTATCATTTGATGAAGCACTTAACAATTGTATAACCACTACAAGAATTACCTTTAAAAAAAAAGATAAATATAAGAGACAAACTAAATTAAAGATATTATGTTTAAGACCAAATTAAATATCAAATTAACTTTTATATTAAATATTAGAGATAATATTTTTCGTGTGGAGTGGGGCTCACATACATCACATGCCACACGTTGTACCGGGAGGAGGTTCCATGGTTTGCCCAAACTATCAACGAGTAGTTCTATTGTTATTACTTTCCTCTACCCGGTTTAGCCAGTCTTATCTTCGCATTTTGAATTATAATATGTTACTAATTCGAATATTGATAACTAGAAAATATTTAAAAATTTAGAATACCAGTTACTTCTTTAAAAAACACTTGGGACAAAATTGCCTTCTAATTGTAGTATGAATTGTTCAACTAACGTTAGTCACATTTGACTATATGTTACTACAGTGACCTTGCTTTTTTTTTTGAAAAATTACAAATAAAGACCCCATAATATGTAAACTTACCATTTAGGACTTTAAATTGGAAAATAACAAATAAGGACCCGGTTCCCCTTTTGCAAATATGAAATCATGATAAAATGTCTGAAATGCTCCTCAACCAAATAACTAGTTGATTATAAAAAATGACAAGTTCACTTTAACAAATGACAATTTCAGTGGACCAAATCACAACTTGGTTGAGGGTATACCAAATAACGAATTGATTATAAAAAATGACGAGTTTACTTTAGCGAATGACAATTTCAGTAGACCAAATTACAATTTGGCTAAGGGGCATTTTAAACATTTTACTCACATTTCATATTTGCAAAACTGGGATCCGGTTCTTATTTACTATTTTTCAAATTGAGAGAGTCCTAAATCATAATTTTATATATTAGGGATTTTATATATTAGGAGGTTTTTATTTGCAATTTTTCCTCCTTCCCCCACCCCCCCCTTTTGAATAAAACATTGCATTACTTTGAAGAAAACATTACATCAGTTAAAAGTCCAGGACAGAAAAACTTTCGACCCAAAATTGCTTCTTAACCTTTAATTTATCTATTTATTTTTAGAGTGATTCTGAATTGTGCCATCAGCCCAACCCGAACAAAGGAAAATAATGGGTCAATAGACCCATTCGGGTTGACAGTTAGCCCACAAATACCTGGAGAAACTGTAACAGATTTGGTTCAATCATTTGCTCTTCAAATGGCTCCCCTTGTCTCTACCACCCCAACCAGTGTCCCTCTCTGCTTCCTCTCTTTCTACGCTTTCTCTAATTCCTCCAATCCTTCCTTCTTCCCAATCCCTCCTCGCCCTCTATTTCAACCTCTTACTTCTCATTGCACCATGGGTTGTCATGGTCGGTGTCGCGCCGCCAGCCCCCGCCCTCCTCCTCCTCCCCGAATCGACCCACCTCCCGGGAACAATCCAAGGAAGCTTCAAGGTGAGGACTTTTCACGCCTTTTTTCTTCATTTTGATATCAGTTTTGGGTGTTCAGTTGCATTGAATTGCATTTTTTTTTTTTTTTAAGTTTTCTAGTTCGGTCTCAAATTAATGTGGTATGAAGTGTAAGACCATGGTTGTACGATATTAGAAATTTTGGCATTATGTTTTGTCTGAATTTTGCTTTCGGTTCGAACTGAAAGAGGCTAGACGCTGTTTTAGGTCCATTAGTTAATGTTAACTTTTGGGGGAAAATTTGTCTTCTTTAAGCAGAGACTCAGTATTTCAAGTTTTTAGACTTTAGTTATGTCTTTTGGAGGTGTGATTTGGCACGGTCTTCTCATTTTTCTATGGTATAGGATAAAAGGCCTAAGCCTAACTCAAAGTCATGGCTGAATTTGCTCCTGTCAGAGTCAGCTGTTTTCCTGCACGGCTGTGCTCCAATTCAAAATAACCCCCATTTTGTTGATTCTAGGATTGTAATATGTGATGAAAATTCTATTAGTATCAAAGGAATTCGCAGATTCGTTGTAGCAAATCGAGATCAGGAGATTGCATAATGCCGATGACCTTTGGCTTCCGGTAAGCAATGATAAGTGGAGAAGCTTTCCTCTCTAAGCCTGTGGGAAATTGGGACGACTCTTGAACTTCTCAAGGGTTTGCTGCTTTTCAGTAATTCTTTGTTCAAGACAATGGAGGCAACCTGTTTGTCAATATTCAGTTCGGAGAATATAAGAACACTTAATAATTGTTTGAATTTGAAACTGACACACTATGTCCGTAATTACCATTTGACTATATCAAGTTATAACCATGTCTAAAATTGGATTACATGGTATGTTCTTCCTTTGATATAAATTGACTGTGCTAGTTACCAAAAGTCCGGTTTCTATTCCTCAGATATCAGGGGCTTTCTAGTGAGCATGCTGCTAAAAATTCAAGAAAATTTAAATGTTGGCTATATAGTAATATGAGTGCCCTTTGGTTTAAAGAATCATAGGGAATGTAATGATAGCAAATAATGAAATGATGATTACAAAGCATTTGTTTGGTATGCCATCAAGGAATCATGGAATGAACTTCATATTTTATCTAGAAGGAAAAAAATAAATGTGAAATGATATTTTTAACTCTATCAAGGTCAAAAATGGAGGGTATAAATGTTTAAATACTTATTCATAGAAGGTATAGATGTCCATACGTTGATTCATATAAGCTTAAATCCAGATTACACAGGCAAAGTTATGTAATGGGATTACTTGATTTGTTATAATATGTTATTATCAAGATTGCATTGAATTACTTTACTATGTCAACCAAACACGTGAATCAGCAAAATCCATGTAATGTACAGAATTGAATCAAACATACCGAAACTGTGGATCAGAAAGAGATAGTAAAATTAAATATGCTGATACAACAGTATTGAAAGCAAGAACCGTGTTTCTATTGCTGTAAAGTGCAAGAATAATTAACACAAAATCACTTCCCCAACTTGCAATGAGCTGTTGTTTGGTTCTCCTCGAGTTATATAGATTTAATTTTGCATCCCATCACTTCTATAGGCTACGTCTGTTTTGACAACTGCAAAAATGTATTTGTTATTAAGATATCATGTTGATATTTCTTCCATCATATGATGATCTGTTTGATGCGCAATATTGTGAATGAATCATCCATGCCTGAATGTCTCTTGCACGTTACAATGTTTGATGCATGTTAGTGTCTATGGTGTATTTTTTGTGAGAACGATGGCATGTTTTGTCAACATATGGTTTATCAGGTATCCTATGCCCAGCTTCATTTTACGCTTGATTTGCTTGTTTCTTCTTCTATGGCCAGGTGCAGCTCGCAGTACTGACCGACCCTTTTTTTTTTCTGTTGATTTTGGGAACCAGGTCTTTCTACATCTTTGTCCAAAATTAAAGATAGAGTACAGATCTTCTTTGCTGTTCTTTTCTGGATGTCTCTATTCTTTTGGGCGTCTGCATGGAATGGGAGGAATAAACCAAACAAAGGATCAAGACGTAGAAGATAACATGCGAAGCATTTCACTTGTATATATATCAAATTATAGCGTAGGGGATAGAATTGGAATATACAGTGATGGAGGGAAAAAGCATTTAAATGGGTGGAATGAAATGTTCCTGATCCTGAGGCTCCATTATTTTTTCTCTCCTGAGATTTTTTGCATGCTTTGATTGATCCGGTTTCTTGCTAGTTGACAAGGCAACTCTTTAACTAGCCTTCAAATGGATTTGAAAGTCCAAATTCAGGGCTGGAATTTGGAATCACTCCTATAGAGAGACCAGGAGGATCAATGGTTAATTCCTTTTGCCCCCATGAACGAAATCGGACGCAGACAGAATGAGCACATCAGAAGACCCCGAAAATTAGAAACAGCCTAAGCCATTACTATTTGGAACTCATATTTGTTTTGTGAACTAAAATCGTTTTTCCAATGGAATTACTTTCGACACTGACCCTATCGCCCATGGTAAGCAATAAGCATTGGTATAATAGTTTTGGGAAATAAAATGCACCTTCTAGAGTGACCAACTTTGTCTTTTCCATGGATAGATAAATAAAGCTTTTGGTTTCCATTTTGATGATTGGAATTTGGAAGTATCATTGTGTTAGACGCAAGATAAAATATTAAATTAATCTACAACTGGCCAGGTATTTGTCTCCATAGTACATGACACAGTCCAGGTTTACACTTGAGATCCCCTGCTAACCCCCTTAACAATCTTTTTCTTTTACTGTTAATTATTGCGATTATTGCTAATTTGATTTCTAGTGGGTGGGCTGGTACATCATGTAAGTATATAGTTAATTAATAGTCTTACAATATAACTTCTGCTTTACGGTGCTGATATTTTCACAATACTCATTAGTGCATGTAGACTACCGATGGGAGCAAGTGGCTTGCAATCTTTCAATTAACTGTTGCCACCTTCATGAGGCGTGCGATATGATAATTGATAAAGACAACATCTCTTGTTGTTTTCTCTGACCTTTGTACCTAGACAGAGAAGCCAGCGGAAACGGGATAGTATTTTCTGGGAGCGCCACACTATCTGCAATTAAAAAATATATATCTGATACACTACTGCAGAAAATGCTGTGGAATCATCTACCTGGGTGCTGTTTGGATTTTTTCTTAACTTGGTTTTCAACAGCCAGATTTTCACAATAATTCGGATGCCATCTATCTTATGGGTTGTGTTTTCATTGGTCAATATGTTCTGGGTCCTGTGTTTACTACTATTGTCTGTTTGTCTTGTCTTGGCTGTCTTATCACCTATCTTGATTGCTTCTAGCCTGCTTAAGAAAAGCTTAAGCTGTCATGACATGGTCCCTTTTTTTGGTCACCACGCGCACACTTCTTCCTTCCTCACGGACAGGGCTTCAAGCCCAAGCACCCCAGTACAGGATAGAACCTGTGACGTAACTAAGGACTCTGCATGCCATGAGGCCAAGGTGCCTCGGCCACATGGTCCTGTTAACTAGAAGCTAGTAAAGCACTCATGTATGAGCATAAACTTGGGATAGAAGTTATCCTGGTGGGTGAACCTTATACCATGCATATCTCAAAATTTGGTGAGATTGTTGTTTGAAATGATTTATAAACAACTTTTTCATTACAATTTACAAAGTATAAGATAAGCAAGTAAAGAAACTTTGTTTTAGTACATATGAACGTACTTATAGATGATAGATTCACTTAGCGATAATAGATTTAAACATGCCTTTGTAAAATGATACTCTTTCTGGTTCTAAATATAAGAATTACACTACAAATATAGATCTTATATTTAAGATCGGATGAGTACTATTTATGTGACTTGTGTCTCCATTATTCGCAGGTTAGCGCAGCCAAAGATTCCCCCCCCCCCCAGCTGCTGAGTAGGGGTACAAATTTATAATTATGCGATTATGTCTATTCATTTATACCATCGACGTTGACATCTCAGAAGGTGAGGGAAAGTGAAGAAAGCGTAACGTACATGGATGAAAAGATAGATATAATGGTGACAAAAAATGGAGGAAAATTGTTAACCCACGATTGGTTCGCCCCATTTGGGAGCCGTAAAGTGCCAAGGCGAAAAGGATGCCACTTTCTGTCACTCGTCCACATACCATACCAGCTCTCGGCCGTTCATTTTTCCTTACTTCAAATCCTTAAATATCACGTTCGTAAGCTTTTTGATTTATCTACAACTTTCTTAATTTCATTCTATGTGAGACTTTTTGTTTGTTTTTATTGACAATTAATCCCAGTAATCGCCTCATTGAGCTTCTCTTATTATTAGTTTTTGTTCAAACTATCTCTCTCAACACGCACACATCTCTCTGTTCGTCCGTATGATCCCTGCTTTTGCTTTTCCTCGACTTATATTTCTCTGAATTGGGTACTCAGGCTCTTGTATTCTGCAAGTGCTCTTCTTTTTCTTGTTCTTTGTCACCGTCTTCTTGTGTTTCTGAAATGCAAAATATGCTACTCAGAACATCTTCAGCTCCGATTCCAAGCTCATGGCTCCATCATTATTTCGGATACTGTTCCTTTCCTGAATCAGGACCCATTCTCCATCTTCCTCGAACAAGACCAGTTTCACTGACCACGTCAAAAAATGCAACTCAATCCTTTACCTCTGACGCAGACTCTCTCGACCCATCAAAGCTTAACAGCAAAAATCGCTTACCCCATCGACATGGTATTTCACAAAAGAATCAACAGGGCTTTGAGGTCAAAGAAAGTGATGAAGTAGAAAACTCACTTGAGAAAACTTGCTCTGAACTTGTTCCTTTCTCTGGTTTGGATAAGAGTTCGGTGAAGCATGAAGAGGATGTTGAAATGATGGGTGATGGAGTTGGAAGCAATGGATGTAGTGGACATGGGAGTGGATGGTTTTCCTCTAATGATGGGGGAGATAATACGGATTCTTATTATCAGAAGATGATTGCAACTAACCCGAATAATGCTCTTTTGCTTGGGAATTATGCAAAGTTCTTGAAAGAGGTATCTTAACTAACGCATATTTAACGTAGTTATCGGAGCATATTGATCCCTTTTTTTTTTTCCTGTTGGAATCTTTCTGATTTTTAAAGTGTGAATAGGTGGTTGCAGATTATGATAAAGCAAAGGAGTATCTTGAAAGGGCGATGTTAGCGAATCCAGGGGATGGCATTCTTCTGTGTTTTTATGCAGAATTGATATGGCAAACGGAGAAGAATGCAGATCGAGCTGAACAGTATTATGATCAAGCTGTTCAAATCGCCCCTCATGATTGGTGAGAAATGAACCTCTATATAACTTCTAGTCCCATTACTTTTTCCCAATCATCAATTCAGTCCCTAAACTTTGACTCTAAACAACTCAATCCTTATAATTTATTGAGCTTAGGAGTTATAGGAATTGAGTTGTTTTCGGAACTTGTTCTGAGTCAATACTATCAGGTCTGAAATGTTACGAGTCTAAGATTCAATGATTGAATTGATAATTGAAGGCAAGTTTAAGGACCAAAGTGATATTTTTTCCCCTTTATTTCACTAACATAATCAATAACCAATATTTATAAAGATCTGGTTTGTTGTTGGAAGTTGATGAAGCTAATGTGGAGACCTGTAATGATGTGCAGTTATGTGCTTGCTTCATATGCTAACTTTCTGTGGGATGCTGAAGAAGACGAAGAAGCCGAAGAGTGGAACCAGAAAACTGATGATGAGAAGCATACACGTGCTTTAACTGCAGCCTCTCGTCTTGATCCAAAATAAGAAATCCCAGTTTTTCAATTCCCAGTGTTCCAGAAAGTTTTGAACTTTGTACATCTTTAGCGTCTGAAATTGTGCTAGGAAATAAAGAGCAGCCCTTTTTGTTTCTATTGCCATTTCCCCACTTCCAATTCACCCTTTTTTTGGTCAAATAATCAGCATAACTATGATCCCGATACCATATTGCAATGTTAGGGGCTCAAATACATCTATAAATACATGTATGTATGGTACGTATATGTGTATGTATGGATGGTGTGTATATTAAACTTTATGAATGGTATGTATGTATGGTGTGTATATTAAACTTTATGAATGGTAGGCATGTATGCATGGTGTGTATATGTATGTATATGATCGAGTACATGCTTAATTAAAAAAAATGGGAGAATTACAATGAAATCCTAATGAAGAAAAGTAATTACTAACAAATCCTAGTGATAGATTAGAAGTCGTTATTTTCTACTCTAAAACTTATCATTACAGGCTACTTAAGTTATTATTAAGATTTTTTGATAATTATGTTTCTTTTTTGAGATTTAATTACTTCTCCCTGAAAAGATTCAGTTTTTTTTTAAATAATGTAAAAAATTAACACTTTGAGAATTTGACGTAGTAATACCAGATAATCAACAATCAATAATTTATATATATATAAACAAGAAAATAAATAATTGAAATAACTAATTTTAAAATAGACTAATAATTTAGTAATAATACAATTTGATATAATTCAAAAGAGTCTCTTGGGGGAAAAATCTGCATAGAATAAGAAATTTAACCGATTTTAATGCTTCAGTTATAATAATGAAAAAAATTTTATTTGTGAGAATAAAATATGTGTGTGTGTGTGTGTTTGATATTTGAAATTGTTTTTTCTTGCTATAACTCATGTGCTTATTATATCCATAAAAAGTTGAACTTACAACTTGGATGCCTAAAAAAACTCAAGGGAGCAGCTTTGTATTCTTGGCTACAAGACCCCGATACATTTGAAATTGTATTTGTGTAGGCAAATTAAATAATCAAAGTAAAATAATGAAGCTGCGCAAGTCTAACAATATCAATTTTGATGGCCAAAAAAAAAAATCAATTTTCCTGTCGGCAAAATATCAATTTTCCTGCTATCTGAGATTTCTTACCCTCTGATAAGAAGTTTAAGAAGCCAGTTTCGGCAGTTACCCATGAAGCCACGAAAAGTATTTGATGGGTCGCTTTCTCACAGGTTTCTAGAGACACAAGTAAATGAAAACGACACTTAGAGCATATGAAAGAAACAACAACAAAAAGTGAACTTTAAGATCCAGAGGCAAAAGGGGTCAGCAGGAAAGGGAAGAATCTATTCTCTCCAATCCCCACAAAACTGCATCGTCTTTGTCTTCAGGTTAAGAATCTTTCCTCTTTTTGTTAGCTTTCTTCTTTGATGCAAGGCTAAGAATCTTAGGCCTTCTATGGCATTCCTGCAGGAAAAGTATTGCATCATGACAAGGATTGTTTATGGATTCTCCTTCACTAATGACGTTACCCCCATTTTACTGAATTACATAATACAGCCTCCCTTCCCCACATTCTTTCCATCATTGGAATGCTCTTCATTTCTAAATAATAATGCTCAATTCCCAGATGGTCTTCTCTTCTTTCCTCCTTTGGCTTCTTCTTCTTATCTTCTCTGTATTTACTTCCCACTATGGTATCATCATCCACTTCTCCTTCTAATTACATTCTTCATGTCACTAAACTACATGTTTTCCATGAGTTTTGTTTATTTGATTAATGTAATGTGATCCTCTAAACCAGTTTTTTCACTTGTTTGGAACGCAGTTATGGCGGATAACTTCTTTACAGGAACATATGGAGTGAACTATGGAAGGATAGCAGATAATCTGCCTTCACCTCACAGTGTGGTGACACTTTTAAAAGCTGCGAAGATCAAGAACATCAGAATTTATGATGCTGACCATAGTGTCCTCACGGCCTTCAAAGGGTCTGGGATTGAGATTGTGATTGGACTTCCCAATGAGTTGTTGACAGGAATCAGTGTAGGGGAAGATCAAGCCATGACTTGGATCAAAGAGAACGTTCAGCCATTTCTTCCCGGAACTAAAATCCGAGGAATTGCAGTGGGAAATGAAATCCTTGGAGGCACAGATTTGCAGCTATGGGAAGTTCTTCTTCCTGCAGCAAAGAATGTCTACAGTGCCCTTGATAGGCTTGATTTAGCTGATGACATTCAGGTTTCAAGTCCACATTCTGAGGCTGTTTTTGCCAATTCATACCCTCCATCATCCTGCACTTTCAGAGAAGACATTGTCCCATTCATGAAACCTCTCTTGCAGTTCTTCTCACAGATTGGCTCTCCTTTCTTCATAAACGCATACCCTTTTCTGGCCTATAAGAATGACCCTGAACATATTGACATTAACTATGCTCTTTTCAAGAAAAGCCCCGGGATTTATGATGCAAAGACAAAACTGCATTATGATAACATGTTTGACGCTATGGTTGATGCAGCCTATGCTGCTTTGGAGAAGGCCGGGTTTGAGAAAATGGAGGTTATTGTGTCTGAGACTGGGTGGGCTTCTCGTGGGGATGCAAATGAAGCCGGAGCCACGGTGGAGAATGCCAGGACTTATAATTATCATTTGAGGAAGCGGCTTCTGAAGAAGAAGGGAACTCCTTACAGGCCTAAGATCAAGGCAAGGGCTTATGTGTTTGCTTTGTTTAATGAGAACTTGAAGCCTGGTCCAACCTCAGAGAGAAACTTCGGATTGTTTAAGGCTGATGGAAGCATTGCCTATAACATTGGCTTCACTGGCCTTAAGGCTTCTTCAGCAACCTCTTCTCTCCTTTCCTTCAAGGTATGGAATACACATCACGAAAACATCAATTATAACCTCAGAGCTTTCTTGAAAATCCCATGTTGTCTGCCATCTTCTTTTAATGTTATGAATGTTTGTTACCTCAACTTCATATATTATGAGTACTTTGTCACATATTTCTTAGCATCCGTGAACTATTCAGGCACCGAGATGTCACAAGGCAATATGTAATCACTATTCACATCTCTCTGTTTGCCCTTGCTACCCATTTTACTCAATTTCAGGGGAGGCTTAATAAACCAATATGGTGGATGTTTCACTATAGAAACTTCATGGTTAGGTGTTATCTGAGATAATTAGCATAGAGACAGTCAAAAGTTTCCTGCTTTTAAGATAGATCTTTCATGGGCATATATGTTTCTAACATCTATTTTGGCCTGCAGGGAATTGGGTGTTCATACATGTTGGCTATCACAACTAGTGTTGCTTTTCTTCTTTTAACGTTATGATCATGATCGGTCAGAGATGATTGAAGGCAACAAGCTTATTGAATGAAGCATTTCATCAGATTGTGGCATGCCCAGAATGTTTGGGACACTTACCCGTATAAGTAATCAAACCTTAATTATTCTTTGCAATTAACCCTCATCCCAGCATTGTACCCTTAACTAGGCATTCTTTCTTGTCTTGTTCATATCTGATGATCCAATCTTGTTGTTCCCTTTTCCCTCCTTACATCTGAGCGGTGTAATATTTAATCATGTCTGTTTTAATTTATGATTCTTCTCCATGCTAACTTTCTTTGTAATAGTACGCGCGCAAAACTTCACAAGATATAAATAGAAACTTAAATTTATAATAAATTCATTTTATAAATAAAACAGGAAAATAAAGTTTATGAATTAGTACACAAATTATTTTTCCATTCCATAAAAATTCACCGACCTTTTATTTTAAAAAAGAAAGAAAATTCAGCAACTTTTTTGCTTTTTTTGGGGGGGGGGGGGGAGGAACTTTAGAGGATTGTTCATGGGGATAGAGCGGTGGAACGTGCAATTGGGGTTGGGAAGTCTATTTTGACTTTGGAAAGTTTAGAGAAAGTTGGAGGGAGGGATTTTCCACAATTCCAACGCCTTGCAACCAAAAAGGCTGTGCTTTCAAACTTCAAATTACAGACACAAGTGAACGTTGAACTTTCTCGTTGGTCCCATTTACACAATTTCGTCCAGACTTTGAATGTGATTGAGAAAACTAGTCATTATGGCCCCCACCTATCAATCATGCATGACTCCTTAAACTATATATATATATATATATATATATGTGTGTGTGAAAATATATTATGGGGTTTTTTCCCAAGAAAATTGATATGAGTCAAACTATTCACATACTAGTAATATAGTGTGGATTCATATAAATTATCTATATATATGTATATATCATACATACTATAAATTAGAGATACTGTCTCTCACGTCATCATTTGGATATGCTTATTTAAGTACTTATAAATATATGTCACGTAAATTGAAATGAAACTCTCATCACATATTTATATTGCATTCTATAAATTATAATTAAAAAGTTACTACCTCATGTCCTTAATATAAAATCTTATTTCACTTTTATTTTGATCCAAAATATAATATCCTAATCTATTTTTTCTTTTATATTTATCTATTTTTTTTAAGGTGGTCATTGTAATAATGATAGTTCTAACCAATATATTTGATTAGAAAAGTTATTTTAGGAAAGAAAATATTTATTTATTATAAATAACTAATTTAACTAGTATTTTTAACCTACTCAAATTAGTCAACTAGCTTTTATAATAAATATCGAAAGTAGTATTAATAAGTCATTTCAATCTAACCCTGACGTGTCCGGTCGTTAGTACTTTGATATTTATTCATATTATGGGTAGCGACGTGAAATGGCAAAAGGAGATGAATTAGTTACTTTGGCAGATTGGTCGTGTGAGCGTATGAGAATGGGAAGGACGACCCCGCTGCAGCAGTGCATTGATTAAACACAGCAAGCTGAGTTGACTGGCCAACTTGGTCTTGTCTTTGCTTTGCTCAGTCCCGCGTGTTGAATAATCCACACACGCCTTCGCTTTCTATTTATACCCATACCCCTTCTCTTCCATTATTTCCCACTTCCCATATTGTCATTCATCGTTCTTTCTTCTTCTTCTTCCTCCTCCTCCTCATATCTTCAATTAAATCCCACTTAATATAATTAATTATTAAGCATGGCCAAAACCTGTGATTTTTGCGTTGCTGCTGCTTCTGCATTAATATTTCTGCCTTCTCTGCTTCTGAATTGCGCCGCTGCCCAGACTGTGCACGTCGTCGGAGACACCACCGGTTGGACTGTCCCCTCCGATGCCAATTTCTACGCCACTTGGGCTTCTTCCAAGACCTTTCACCTCAACGATGTTCTTTGTACGTACACACACACATATATGTATATAAATCTCCACACACACACATACACTTAAAGGTGTTTGGGTGATTTTTTCTCAAACCATGGTTTGGTCCCCAAACACCCCCTTAATCTTCATCATTTATATATTCTTATCGATCTTATTATTAATTAGTTTGTTTTCTTTTTCGTTTTTGGTGGTGGTAGCGTTCAACTTCCCTACAAACGTACATGACGTGGTCAGAGTTCCGAAAGCTTCGTTCGATGCTTGCACTTCAGGTAATCAGATAGGGGCCACGATCACCGCCGGCCCCGCCAACGTTACCCTCAAAGAAACCGGCACCCACTATTTCATTTGCACCGTCGGCCAACACTGCCAGGGGGGACAGAAGTTGGCCGTCACCGTCGGCTCCGGCTCCTCCCCGACCCCGGCGGGTGCTCCGTCGTCGTCGACCCCACAAATTCCTTCTCCTCGGCCCAGTTCTGCTCCTCCTCCTCCGTCCAATTCTGCTCCTCCTCCTCCTGCCCTTGCTGGTTTCTTCTTGATCATGCTTTGCTTCGCCTTGGGGAAACTGGTCCTCTAGAGATGACGGCTAAACCTATATATAGATGATGGTATATTTTCTCAGTTTAATAATTAGCAGGATACTGTAATGGTGGGAGTTTTGGCATAGTGTTTGCGTTGGCCTGGGATCTATTTTCAATAATTGCCTTGTATTGTTGATGTCAGGCCACATAATAAAATTTTTTCCATATTAAAGTATTTATAATTTCTTTCTCTTTTACAATAATATATTTTAATTTGACGTGTTATTATATTCTCCACCCGTATTTTGGATTTATTAATTCGCAAAGAAGCTAAGAAATTGACTCATCATTTTCCACTCCGATTGATTCTTTCAAGAATGAGACGTCACAGACCTAGTGCCCCCTTCGATTGAAACACTCATTAAAGACATTTTTGGTAGAAACAGTAATTTTAACTAACTCAGCATATATAATTTTTATGGTATAGAATAAATAAGAATATAAGTAAGGAGGGAAATGGTTTAAACAGAAGAATATTAAATTATATAAATATTAATAAATATTAGCTAATAATATATATTTATTAATATTAAATTAAACTAAAAATCGTAACGAAATGTTCTAATAATTAAGTTACAATAATAAATAAAAAAATTAAACCGCCACGTACTTACTTTGCAAACTCACAAAATTTATAATTACCAGAATAAAACCTTTGACCTCGTCAATATCGATGGGATAACGCGCAGTCTCAATTCTCAGCGTTTAATGACAACAATTGATTTATTTCGATAAAACTTTTATCGTTATGTAGATAAAATTCATACATATATTTTTACCTTATATAAAAATTATTTAAAATTAAACTACTTGAATCAAGTAAGTTGGTAGAATTAATTTATTTGAGATGATCGCATTTCTTTTTTCTAAAATTAAAAAATGAATATAATACAATGTATTCTCTCATGAGAAAATGATCTGCACGTAGCTTGGTGATTCTGAAAATTAAATTGGTTTTTAATATTCCCTTAATAACACTACAACAAAATGTGTCATTTACCTCCCTCATTTATGTCTGTTTTGCAAAACAGACGTGAACTCACGTCCGTTTACCCAAAACAGACGCGAACTCACGTCCGTTTATAAGAAACAGACGTGAAGTCATTTTTAAAAAAAATTTGCCCACAGCTAGTGCAGCTCGCCGCATCAGTAGTTATCTATCAGATTTGCATATGTACCGCGCGCGATCGAAGAACTCCAGCTCGCAGCTATCTCGCACCCAACTTTCAGTTTTGATCGGTCTCTCCCTCTCATTTTCCTCTTGTCCGTGAAGTAGCCGTGAGCTCTTCCCCTGGTTTCAGCTCTTCAAGGCCGCGCCATAGCCGGACTCCCTCCATTGCGTCGCTCATTCTGCAGTAGCCGTGTTGTAGCAGCTTGCCGTTGAAGCCGTGAAGCTCACACGCACAGCAGCTCACCGTCGTCGTCCTCTCTGTAGGCCGTTGATTCGAAGGCACGCCAGAACGGTGAAGGTAAGTTCATTCAACCATTGCATTTTAGTGTGTTGTACGGTGGGTTTGAGTAGGTTGAGGAGTTTTGAATTGGTTTCTGAGGTTGCTGTTTAAATTTTTGCTGAAGAATTGTGTTTAGATAGTTTTAAATTTGTATATATTGATTGGATAGAAATTTTAATGATTTCAAGCCTTGTTAATCTTGTTAGAAAAATAATGCATACAAGGTGTTTGTTAAAATGCCTAAGAGGGATTGCATTAGATAGTTTGCTATATGTGTTGAATTTAGATTAAGGATTGGGTATACATTAAATGATTAATGAAAAAATTGTATTTAGATAAGTTAAAATTTGTTTACATTGATTGGGTAATAGATTTGAAGTTTGAAATCATTTGTTTGGAATTGGCATGATTTATGTTGTAATTGGAATGAATCGGATTCAATTGATATCATTAGTTTTGAATTTGGTTAATGTTTATTGGGACTGTGCTGAATGGAATTAAATTGTTTATAATTCCTTAGGTAGTAACAGAATGGATCATAGTTGGATGAATGCTTTAAGAACAAGTGATGAATATGAGAACGGAGTAGAACGATTTATTGAATTTGCTAAACAGAATGCTCGTAGCAATAACGGAATGTATTTTTGTCCCTGTGTCAAGTGTTTAAATGAGAGGCGACTAAGTGTTGATGATATTAGAGATCACCTGCTTTGTGATGGTATAAATCTTCGATATACAAAATGGATATGGCATGGTGAAGTAGGAACAAGTTCAATACTCAAAGAAGAGGAAGATATGGATGATGTAAATGATAGAATGAGCGATATGATTCGTGATGTAGGGGTAGAGTTCTTTGTGCAATCACATGCAAATGATAACTTGAAGAGTGATGCAGAGATGCCTTTGTACCCTGGGTGTTCTAAGTATACACGATTGACAGCTGTATTGAAATTGTTCAGTTTAAAAGCAAATAATGGGTGGACTGACAAAAGTTTCACAGAGTTGCTTCAATTGATTAGTGATATGCTTCCAATTGATAACGTTCTTCCAAATCGTGTGTATGAAGCAAAGAAAATCTTGTCTCGGATGGGTATGGGCTATGAAAAGATACACGCTTGTCCTAATGACTGTGTATTATATAGAAAAGAGTATGCTGGTCTACGTGAGTGCCCAAAATGTAAAACTTCACGATTCAAGGTGAAAAAGAACATGGACTGTGCTGGTAACTATGATGGTGACGAGACAAGTAAAGGGCAACCTTTGAAGGTGTTATGGTATCTTCCGATAATACCACGATTTAAGCGCTTATTTGCTAATGCAACAAAAGTGAAGAAGTTAAGATGGCATTTTGATGAGAGAATATCAGATGGAAGATATCTTCGGCACCCTGCTGATTCTCCTCAATGGCAGAAAATAGATGAAATGTTTCCAGAATTTGGTCTTGAACCAAGAAATCTTCGCCTTGGGCTTTGTACAGATGGAATCAACCCTTACGGTACTCTTAATAGCACACATAGTGCATGGCCAGTACTGTTGGTGATTTACAACCTACCTCCCTGGTTATGTATGAAGCGCAAGTACATGATGCTTTCTATGATGATTTCAGGACCGAAACAACCAGGAAACAATATCGATATCTACTTGGCACCTTTAATTGAAGATTTGAAGATGTTGTGGGAAGAAGGCGTGGATGTGTTTGATGCATACAAGCAGGAGTCCTTTAAGTTGCGTGCCATGATCTTTACAACGATAAATGACTTTCCTGCATATGGAAATCTATCAGGATACAGTGTGAAGGGGCATAAAGCATGTCCTATATGTGAAGCAGACACATACTTCCACCAACTTAAGCACGGAAGGAAGACAGTTTACCTCGGTCACAGGAGGTTTCTTGATCGGTTCCACCCATACCGGAGATTGAAAAAGGTTTTTAATGGCTCACCAGAGCATGGCATGGCTCCGAAGGCATTAACTGGAGAGGAAGTTTACCAGCGAGTTGAAAGAATCAATGTCATTTTCGGTAAGACTCAAAAAGCTGCAAGTGAGAAAAACATATGGAAGAAGAGGTCTATTTTCTTTGATCTTCCATATTGGCGCAGTCTTGATGTAAGACACAGTATCGATGTGATGCATGTGGAAAAAAATGTGTGTGATAGTCTTATCGGTACTCTTTTGCACATACCCGGAAAAACTAAAGACGGAATTAATGCAAGACTTGATCTGGCTGAAATGGGCATTCGAGAGCGCTTACATCCACAATTGAGAGAGGGTGGTAAGCGGGCTTATATGGAACCTGCGGCCCACACATTGTCTAAAGTCGAAAAAACAAGCTTGTGTCGGTGTTTGCATGACATCAAGGTGCCCCAGGGGTATTCTTCTAATGTGAAAAGGCTTGTCTCAATGCATGATTTGAAGTTAGTGGGAATGAAGTCTCATGATTATCATGTACTGATGCAACAACTATTACCCGTAGCTATTCGAGGCACAATGAGAGATGATGTGAGGAGCACTATAACTAGATTATGTATCTTCTTCAATGCTATTTGTAGCAAAGTCATTGACATAGAGAAATTGGATGAATTGGAAAATGAGGGTTATGTTATCTTGTCTCAACTAGAAATGCACTTTCCCCCAGCATTTTTTGACATCATGGTGCATTTGATCATTCATTTAGTGAGGGAGATAAGGCTTTGCGGTCCTATTTTTCTAAGATGGATGTATCCATTTGAGAGGTACATGAAAGTCTTAAAAAATTATTCTAAAAATCCTTATCGACCTGAAGCATCAATTGTTGAAAGGTATGTAGCGGAAGAGGCTATGGAATTTTGCAAAACATATCTATCTATAGCTAAGACACCATCTCGGCATGAAAACGGTACAAGTAAAGGAATCAGGGGGTTGAAGGTAAAGAGTATGGGTCGTGAAGAAGTGTTACAAGCGCACTTATACATATTGAATAATATGGAAGAAGTGCAGTCGTATTTAGATGATCACAAAAAAAGTTTAAAAGAGAAGTATCCAAAGAAAAGTGATATGCAGATAGCAAATGAGCATAACAAAACATTTATAACATGGTTCAGTGAAAAAGTTTTGAGAGAGGCCAATGTATCTGATACAATAAAATGGTTAGCTTGGGGTCCTTGTTTTGAAGTTATCACTTGGAGTGGATACGACATAAATGGATATTCCTTCTACACAAAAGCTCAAGATGACAAAAGTACTGTGCAGAATAGTGGGGTAATGGTGGTTGCTGAAGCGATGCATTTTTCGAGTTCGAAAGATAAAAACCCCAAATTGGCATCTATGGCTTATTATGGAGTTATTGAAGAGATATGGGAGGTAAACTACACCAATTTCAAGATTCCTGTCTTCAAATGTAAATGGGTCAACAACAACAGTATTGAAATAGATCAACAATTTGGATTTACATTAGTTGATCTTGGCAGGGTTGGTTATGCAGATGAGCCTTCATTTTAGCAAGCCAGGCAAAACAAGTATTTTATGTTACTGATCCAGCAAATAAAAAATTGTCTATTGTCCTTCAAAGTAAAAAGCAGAAGG